CGCGAAGTTACAGTCGGATTTTTTTGTGGTAGATGCAGTATCATACTGCTGAGACCCCTTTTGAGGTAATCTCCGCAACCACTTATCGGATTTGACCGTCGAAAGGTTTGTATGATTGATGTGGGTCATAGCTACACAAAGCAATTTATTTTGTGCCAATTGAAGCTCTGTGGGCTGAGATACGGGCGGTGACGTAAATAAGAAATAACGCCACCGGTGACGTAAATAGAATCCTCCAAATCGAATTCGGAAGTTAAACCTCCTGGAGTATCAGGGCATGACTTCCCAAATGCGGGTGCTCAAAAGGCATGCAGAACGTTTGCTNGCATCGGAACAAGGCCTGACGTAAAGAGCCCTCTCCCCCTGTGTTGATTTCTTTTCAGGTGACAACCCCCGGCGGGGCGAAGGGAGTCAGGATGATCTGTCCAGGATGCAAATCGAACTCGGAAGTGAAACCTTCTGAGTATCAGGGCATGACTTCCCAAATGCGGGTGCTCAAAAGGCAATCAGAACGTTTGCGGTATGAACTTGTTTTTCGACTTGATTTCCTGTTTGTTTTGGTTCGCTGTTGGTTGTTGTCTCTGTTGCTTGTGAGCCGTCCGTTTATCTCGGTAGTCCCGGAAGAGTCATCTGTTGTAAGAACATGCGCGCTAAGTCTTTGCGCCCTTCTCATTTCCGACATGTTCTGAATGCCGTANGCATGACTTCCCAAATGCGGGTGCTCAAAAGGCAATCAGAACGTTTGCGGTATGAACTTGTTTTTCGACTTGATTTCCTGTTTGTTTTGGTTCGCTGTTGGTTGTTGTCTCTGTTGCTTGTGAGCCGTCCGTTTATCTCGGTAGTCCCGGAAGAGTCATCTGTTGTAAGAACATGCGCGCGTAGTCTTTGCGCACTTCTCATGTCCGACACGTTCTGAATGCCGTCTTTCTCCGTATTCGTCTCTTTGTAATTAGCCGTCTTTTTACGGCAGATACGCGCGGTACCCGACGTTGGCAGGGTGGTGGTTCCGTTGGCGGGCAGGTATTCCTGCACGGCCTCAGGGTGCCTTTTCGTCTTGGAAAGTGCCAAGAAGGCGGCCAACAAAAAAAAGTGGTTATTGCGNTCTCTTTGTAATTAGCCGTCTTTTTACGGCAGATACGCGCGGTACCCGACGTTGGCAGGGTGGTGGTTCCGTTGGCGGGCAGGTATTCCTGCACGGCCTCAGGGTGCCCTCTCGTCTTGGAAAGTGCCAAGAAGGCGGCCAACAAAAAAAAGTGGTTATTGCGGATGACGGGTGGGACGAGGCCACCATCCGCGAGCATTGCCCAAACGGCGCTTCCTTTACCACAATGGACGACAGGTACGGTGATGATTTTATTTTAAGCGTGTAGTATTTAGCTTCAATCTTGGCATCGCATTGCAGTGCTAAAATTACACGCACAAGGATCGCCTATTCTTACTTGTTCTCGCTGGGTCACTTGACCACTGAATTTGGGCAGGTACATGCAGTTGCTACCTGAGGAGATTGTCTCGCGATTGCTTTTTCGCTACTTTAGGCAAAATGGCACGTCAGAGACTCTACTGGACCAAGTGAGGGCGACGGAGGGCGATCTGCAGGTGCAACCCTAAGCTGAAAGCGGTTCCGTTTCTTTTTCGATCGTGATGTGTTTGGGCAGCTGGGTTGCACTCTGATCGTCCTCCTTGATTTTCGCTGTGATAAGAGTGGCTCCACTGAAAACTCGTTGGTCATCCGCCCCATGTGTTTGCTGGTGCTTGCTCCACTGAACATGAAGACGTATCGCAGTATCCTGGTCGCAGGCGAGCAAGGCCGAGAGCTACGAGAAATGCATTGGTGCATCCGGTTTTGCGTTCTGCCGTCATCCACAGGACAAAGAGCACATGCAACGCGAATCCACTCGCAGTATGGGGGGCAGTTCCTGTGCATGGATGGCACGTGGCGCATCGGTTTGAGGGTCATTGATTCTCCGGACTGCC